AGGGAAGTCCAGTTGCCCCTCAGCTGTGGCGTGAACTATAGGGGTTTCTGCAGTTCATTCCTGGGAAGGAGAGACGTCCTTCCGAACCCCTCCGTCGTCCTTCCCCACCGCTGCAATGTAGCTAATGTGCCTGGTGCTTGGGTTTGCTTGCTGCTGCTTGGGTGCATGTCTGCACCTCTGGCTTAAATACTGACCTTTTTGGCTGTCCTTACAGAGATGCTCCAGGTTTTAGGGCGAGTAATTAGAACAAGGTATTTACACTTTTTGCTGCTAAATGTAAAGAACAGACTTGACTTGTGTATCAGTCCAAAATAAGTTCATTATTGTTTCGTATTTTTCTGATAACGCATTTTGTGTACTAAATATATATGTACACACGCACACGTGCAAACAGATGCGTGTCTGCAGATCGGTTATGATTATAATCTGCTGTTTGCCTCCAAAACTTTGCTTTTGTGAGCAGCCGGGTGTGCAGATATTAGCTGTGTGCCCATGTGCATTTGCCTGAGTCCTGTGGTCCCAAGGTCAGCACCGTTACATTGGGTGGCGTGAAATGCTGAGGTGGCTCCTAAGGGTGGTAATGAGCAACCTCCGTGTTAAAGATTCTTGTCCTTTGCTTTCCAAGGAGTGTTGCAATAACTGAAAACATACTTCAGTGGGCTCTTAAGAGTTGATTACAAAAACTGTAGTTTTGCTAGATTCTTCTAAGCTAATCTTAAGGAGGTTTATGCTGTTTATGCTGCCAGTTTATAAATGGAGAAAATACTGAGCTATAAATACTGTACTATTGAGCAGCACTTTTAAGATTCCTCAGTAGCTTCTGTGTTCTGCAGAGAGGCAACCTCATTTGGCTGGATTTGGAATTTAACATGCAGATTATCTGGCCAAACCTCTTCTTTTCATCAGACAGAGCCTCATTTTATATAGTAGGGATTAGCACGGTTACATTATATTTGAAACTGTTGTTTCGGCCTCCTAGCCGATCAGAGCTGGTTTGGTGATTTAGGGGATTTTGCGATGTCTCCATGCCATGTTCTCTCCCATTTGAGCGCATATTTGCTTTACCTTTCCTGGCTGGCTACGTAGTACCAGCGTAGGGATTATATTGCACTTCTCAGTCTGTGGCTGTGGAGGACTGGGCAAGAGCGTAGCAGACCAGCACTGCTGCAGCTCCCTGTCTCCACGGTAAGGCTAATCAGCTGTTGTTGGAAACAGCAGTCAGGGGTGGCTTTAGCTCTCCTCTCTGTTTCTTAACTTCTTGGTGCCAGCTGCTTCAGTGCGTGCAGCACTAGGAATTGCCAACGCTGCCTGGATTAATAAGGTCACTGCTGCACGACGTTTCCCCCACCCCTTTAATGAGTCTGATGGGGTAATAAGGAGTTCCGACATCCAGCTTTGTGCTTTCTGTCTCAGACCTAGAGGTTTTGCGGGGTTTTTGTTTTGTTTTTGTTTTTGCATTTGCAGACTCTCCCTTTGTGACAGTTATCATGTTTCTTTCTTGAAGAACCATCATCTTTTGGGGTTCAAATCCTGTGCCTTAATAGCTGCTTAGTTTATCTGCTGTCTTTCTGGCTGAAAAGGAGCAGATAGAATTTTATTCAAATCCTGCCAGTGTTGTGTTGTGGTCTGTGTGACCATCTACTCCAACTATACTTCACAGTTTTAATGTAAGAGAAAATTCTTGTTTGATTGCGTTTTTCTTTTTTGTTTTCTTTTTCGACTTTCCTAAGAGCAGTTCAGTTCTTCTAAGTAAAACCATTCTCTTTAAGTGGATGTGCTATCCAATGAAAGCTGATACTCCTTCTATTGCAAAAATGGAAAACACAGCCCTGGATCTCCAGATTGCACAGTCTGACATTGACGAAGTATTCTTCAAAGAGCCACTGGGGATTTATTGTTCCCCATTTACAACTGGAAAAAATGAGACAGAATGTTTAGCCGGTGACAGGTCTTTCAGTCTGATTTCAAATGCGACTGGATTTGGGAAATGGGAGATTCTGAGCTTTGTGCTCCTCTCTCATGTGCCCACTGCCACAGTTGAAATAGTTTCATTAAACCTTTTAGCTGATAGTTGGTTTAAACCTTCTTATTTTGTGTTATCTGCCCATCTGTTAAGAGAGATGAAGGAGAAATATAGTCCAACACATACCTTCCATTCAGGAATTGTAATGGGCAGTGTGCAGCTACGAGTGGTGCAATGCAAATATAGGGGCTCTTCAGCAGCATGTGTGGAAGATAATGTTGCTGGGTGAAGGCTCAACTTCTGTTCTCAGCACTACCCCAACCTGAAGTGTAATTGTAAAGAAATCACTTCCTTGCTCAATGCCTCAGAGAAGAAGGTGATAGCAGGTCATATCTGAAGTATTCTGGAGTATTTATTAAAAAAAGAAAGAAAAAAAACAGACTTGCAGAAATAGCAGAAGACAAAAATGCCCTGGATCTGACAGGGAAGTATTTAGCCCAAAGTTAAAATTTGCTTAAGAAAGCAAACACTGACAAAAGTAGTTTGCAGTAAGCTCTTTAAAGAGCTAGTCGTGTGCATTTTCATATATGTATGCACAAGCATACACATACCTGTATAGAACATACGTAACCTGAGTAACAAAGTGTAACACGGTTTATATGAGGGTATAAACATTTGAGTGTTTCTCCATTTGGGGCAGTTTAGCTCTTAAAGCTCAGCAAACGTTTGAGTTTACCAACAGTCTGCACTTGCACTGTGTCTGGAAGTGAAGTGGTGGGTTGGAGTCGGTGGCTGTTTCACCCTCCTTTGAGTCTGGAGATCTTAGAAAGCTTCTCTAGTGTTTAATGTTACTTGGACTGATTCTCGTATGAGTTTTGGGCTCTACAGCGGCAGAGAGATGAGGTGAGGCGGCTGAGGTCTCCTGGCATGGCACAGAGCTCACGTGCCTGTCACCTCTGGCGTCCCTCGTCCCTGGATCGCTGTGACAAGCCAGCGTAAGATGCGTATGTTGTAGCTTGGATCCCAGACTTGCACAGAATTGTGTCTTTATTAATTTATTTTTATTGTTGCTGATTATTTTCTTATGCAGTGGTAGCATGCACAAGTCAAGCAGGCTTTGACCACATTGTGGGAGGCATTTTAAGATCATTCAGTAAATCGCCGCACCTCCTTGTCAGAGTTTATACCCCAGAACTCCAAGAACCTGCAAATGTGCTGCACTTACTTAAACACCTTTGATACTATGCTGCAATTTATGAGTGCCATGTGTTGTTCTGATTGTTGTAGGATTTACAGACTGATATAAACTAATATTTACTTCTGATGGAGCAGAAATTTACTGTATGATGTATACAGTTAATTTCCTGTAGAGAAAGACAAAAAACCCCATGTGAACAGGGTATACTAGTCCTTAGCAAATGCTTGAGAGAGAATACAGGACTGGAAAGGCATTTATGCACTGAAAATGATAACAAGGTTAAAAGAAATTGTCCCCAAAAGGAAAGGATGATTCAGAAAATAAGGAATGAGGAGCAAATGCACATGCTCTTGTGGAGCTAACTGGAATAATTTACCAAGTTTTTGCCCTTCAGCCAGAGATTACTGCCTCTGCAGCTGAGGTCCCCCACCACGTTATGTGTGCACAGCACAACCTTTCAGCCAAAGGCAGCTGGCTTGCTAAAATCTCCTCCTGAAGTGATTTTTAAGAGTTGGTAGTTAATCTCGGATGAATTAGCCTGTTCTGGATTTTATGTGGGAATGGTTGTGAGTGTCTGTTACAGCTCCGTGGTGGGAACAGTGGCCTACAACTGCTGGTACAACTGACAGAAACAGTGTTCATTCCTCCGGGCCTCCCTGAAAAACGCACCTGCTTCGCGCTGGACAACTCCATCTTGCTGGTGTTTTGCCAGATTACTGTCCCTTTCAAATAAGTTTTCTCTCAAGTTTGTTCCTAATAAGATAGTTTTGGTTGCAGTCTCCAAAACAAAAGCATCATCATTGCGAGAATCCGTGATCAAGCATGGAAGGGGGGATACTGTAGCCGCCAGCTTTGTCCTAAAGCTGGCAAATGACCAGGCTGGGAGACTGGTGAACACAGGGAGAAAGGAAAGAAAGGAGGGAATCTGCATATATAGAAAAATATATGCACAAAAGTGATATTTCTGATTGATCTGCCTCAGGACCCCCTCCGTTCTCTTGTCTGCTGTTCACATGCGATTGCTGCTTGCTCTGCCTCCCCTGTGCGCAGTGACTCACAGATCTGTTCTTGGAATTAGCTAAAAAAATTGCTGGAGTGTAGTGATCCTGAAACAGGAGGGACTTTTTGTGAGGGACGATCATTTTCTATTGTTTATTCCAAGTTAATATTTTGTTTGGGTCTAGAAATAACAAATTATACTGGGTAAAGGCCAACATTTCGCAACCCAGTCTCTTGTATATACACAGTTTAGGCTCCGTGTGCTTTGTTCTCACCAGTGCAGTTCATCATTGCGTGTTGGTTGTGGTTACTTGAAGAGAAGGCAGAAACCACCTGGTACTGAAATCCCAACCATATCTGTTGGGATTTCAGACATGATGCATGAATTTCACATTTTTTCATAAACATGTTATGAATGTTTCTAGTACAATCCCAGGCTCATTCCATTGCATATATTCTCTAGCAACTATTACAGAATTACAAGTTGCAGTGAGTTTAAAAAAGTTCCTTTGGAGGAAAAATGAGGGTGGAAATTTAGCATAGACAAACCCAAGCAGTGATAATTAGTTGGTGGATCAGAAGATTTTTTTTGTAGAGAATTACTGTGCTGTACTGTACTGATGCTTCCATAAGTATGTACACTAATAACTTCACAGGAGAAATAAGGAAGATTTGGTGTAAAGGGAGTAATTGTAAAAATCCTTTAGATTTAAAAATTTAAAAATAATGTAAAATTTACAATGCAAGCAATTTAAAATCATCTGAAAATGGTGCATTTATTTGTTGCCATATTATGTAATTTAACACTGACACTTAAAGACTTTTGTGCTTTGTGTGCAGGTATATGTCTCGAGTCCATGGTATGCATCCAAAAGAAACCACCCGTCAGCTGAGTTTAGCAGTCAAGGATGGTCTTATTGTTGAAACCCTGACGGTGGGGTGTAAAGGGTCAAAAGCTGGTATTGAGCAAGAAGGATATTGGTTGCCAGGAGATGAGATTGTGAGTATAAAATCTTTGAGAAAATAAATCACATTTTCTGATATCTTGGCATGAAACTTGTTTTAGTTTCTCTTTAAAGTTATTTATAGATGCTGTGTTGGTGCTTGTGAAGAAGGAAATAACGCATTCATAAACCTTTTTAACTCTTTCTATTCCGTAGAAGTTCTGTCTTCTAGAAGTCTGAGTTTTCTTCTATGAATTGTTGGGAATGCCCTTTCCTCAGTCATCCTTCACTTTTATGTACCATCATCTTTCCTACAGCTGTATAAGGAAATAATAAATACAATGTTATTGGTATTACTTGAAATCCTCAGGCATCCTCAAAGGAATGTATCTCCTAAAAAAAAAATAAGAGAAGAATTATTGATTAGTCTTTCCTTAATCTGAATTTGGAGGAGAAGAAATTAATGCCTTTCAAGAAGTTGTTCTTTCTGTTACATTAAACACACAAGAAAAGATGTGTTTTACAGATGTCTAGGAACACCAGGGCCCTCGATTAGGAAGAATTTTGTTAGTGAATTAGTTAGAATCATCCAGATATTGTTTCACTGGATGTAAAAAGTAAATATTTAAATCTAGTTGAACAGGTTGCAAATTATGTGCGGGGAAGAAAAACATTCTCGCTCTGTGCCTCCATAGCCGAGCTAACTGCAAATGCCTATTTTCCCAAGAGGCCAGGGAAAATATTGTGTAACAATTTTGCTGTGCTCAGAAGTTCGATCTGTGTGTTTCCAAGACCACATTTTCCTAATAAAAGAGTGTTTGCCAAAAGCTTTGAAGTACTTGAACTAGGAATTGATGTTCTGGAGTATAAGTTACATTAAGTATTGGTAAAATGGACAGTGTTGTCTCAGATACAGATCACAGTTTAAACTTTAAAGGAAAAAATAGAGGAAATTAAATTCTATATAAAAGAGAAATACTCATTGCATTACTGTACCATTGATAAGATGGTGAAAGTGAAACAGAGTAGATAATTTTAAGTGAGAGAAATAAAAAGTAGAAACAACTAGGATCCAAAATAGAAAGCATTTTGTTTCAAATTATGCCAGTATACTAATTTTAAATATTGGAATATGTATTAAATATATCTTATGTCACTGTTAAGGTTCTCACTCTAAATTTTGTTAGAAATCCTCAGGGGAACCTTTAAAGGCTATATAATTCTATTTTTACTATTCTCCCTGGGACTAAATGTTTAGAAATCACAGCTTAGCTCTTTTTAGGTATTTCTTGTGACTCTTCTAGTCTGTTTAAAGAGGTGATGCTAAGTGTGTAGACTGAACATGACATGAAGTCTGAGATCCCTAGTTATCTCAAGTACGCAGTATGTTTATTTTCTCTGTCAGCATGAGAAAAAAAGGAAAACAAATCCCAATGCTTCACTGTAGACATTTCTTAATGGGCCAGGGTGTAAATTCCCAGTAAGTCATTAGAAATAAGTCATGCATTTATCTCAGAATAATATGAATTGGGTTTGGCTTGAAGGCATTACCCAAGTCACATCATGAATAACCCTTTGGTCAGATGTAGCCACCGTATTTATAGCACAGCTGCTGAGCCCTGAAGGGCTCTGCTGTGTCCACGTGTCCAGTGGGCAGCTCATGTGCTGAGGCCACCACTCTACGTGGCAGCTTTGTGCATAGATAGGAAGCAGGTCCTGATCCAAGACATGTTTCAAACATACAGTGCCTCCAACTTGTTCCCCACACTGAATCAAGATGCTGCAGATGCAGGAAGCAAAAGACAAAGTTTTGGTATAAACTCTTTTTCTTGTTCTAATTTATTCAAACAAATTACGAAGTATCATGTGGTCACTCAACATCAGATCAAGAATTTTCCATCCTCCAGCAATTGATGCAAAACTGGACAGCTTGGTATGTTCTCTGCATTGACTGCACTGAATAGTTTTATAGATGCTCTGTCTGCACTTATACAAGATGAAATTTATAATTCAATGTAATCCAGATCTGCTCCAGACCTGGTACTAATGACTGTTAAACCATGAGCTCAAGTTACATTTCAGTGACAAATACCAGGAGTCTTTTGGGAGATCCACATGTATGAGATAGAACTACAGAAGGACGAAATAGGACTATTAATTTTAGAGCAATGATTTCAGACTCATCAAACAGCGCTTCCAGACAGACCCTTGACCCACTGGCCCAGTTCAGTTTGACTGATGCCATGGGAGCTTAGAAAGCCCCAAACCGGTCAGTGACAGGCTGGGGAAGTGATCCACAAGCTACTGATAGCAGTTCAAAAATACCCTCTCACCTAAGCTGGCTTTGAGGTATCCCACTGGAAGTCAGTAAGGATCAGTTGTCTCAAGGAGTTAACCAAGGGAGACATTGTTTCCCCCCTTTTAACTATGTATTTTAAATCCATGTTGAAGTAAATAAATTATTTGGCTGGGCAGCAGAACTGCTGAGCACCTCTATCTGTTGCTTATATATGAGCCTAACTACAAGCTGTCATAAAGCCTGAAAAAATCCTGATTTTAATGAAGACTGTGGATTGATTGCTAAGTGTTAGCAATAATTAAGGGCCCGCATATTATGAAAATGCTGTTTTATTTGCAAGAGATTGGTTAGATAATCTGGGGGTTTGCTTGTGTGTTTCCAAGCATTTGGCTTATTCAGTAGATTGAACTAGTGAAAGATACCTGCAATTAAAACATAAAAACTCTTTTTTTTTTGATTAAGTTACTTGCAGCCCTTCCTGGAAAATGTTAAAAATGCTTCATGCCGCTGCTATCCGTTTTCTCAGCATATTGAAGCTGTGTTACAAAAATGGATCAAAGTCTCCTGTCCTTAGAAATGTCATTGAAAAGAACTAATTGAGGTGCAAAGCTGAAATAGTTCGGAGGCATCAGGAAGAGGTACCTCCAACAGGAACAGTTTTTAATAATAATATGTTAGAAAGTACAAGAAATTCTGTGAAGGTGAGTTTTCTGAGAGAGTGGAAGAAAAAGAATGATCTCCTAAAATTACTCTCTCATATGTGTGGGAGAAGTGTTCATATATAAGTTACTAAAACTAATTGAAAATACAGAGTCAGTAGCTGCGCATGATACATTCAAACAGATATGTAAAGGTAGGTACCTATACAAGGACTACTTTGCAAATATTAAACCTCCTGGGCTTGTGCAGGTATTCGCTTCGTTTGCTCATTTGCCATCTGTACAGATGTTTTGTGAATTTTCAAAATGTGTTCTCGTCTTACAGGCTTTCTCATCTGGTAGATGATTAATGCATTTGACACAAAATAATTGGCAGATGAGAATATTTTCCAATTATTATCCAGGATTTTAGTTAGGAATTTTGAATTTTCACTGTTTGTTGATGCCATTATTATGCAATTCAACAAAATCTCTGCAGCTTTTTGCCTTGCAAGGGAAATGTCAGTCCTGAAATCTGGTAATGGAAGTTTACTCTTTCTTTCTAAAATCTTTATTCCTGTTGCTCAGGATTTGTGGTATTTGGAAGTGTTATTTATTACTAAATAATGGTTCTTTGAGTATAGCAAACATTTTGGGAATCTGTGTTGTTAATAGTGTTTTAAATGCTATTGATAAGTGTAGTTCTTGAAGGTACAACTCTTAGAATTAGCATTTCTCATTTATCTATTTTGTGATTTTTTTTCTGCAGACAGGGAACACAGAACTATTTTCAGCATGTAATATGCTAATTCTTCTCATCATGATTAGAGTCATAAGACTGCACTGACCCAGAGAGAGGCATTATGAATGTGTAATTTCAATTTACATGTCTTCATAAAGCCAAGCAATATTGTGTTCATCCAAAAGGAAGAGGTATTAGGAACAGAGGTTTATTGTTTGCATCTGAATGCAAGATATCTCATAGCACTCCTGGGTCTAGAGTTGGTTCATAGTGGCCAGATTCTCCGGGGGGATGTGAAGAGCCAGGCTGCATGCCTAGCTGAGACACTGTGAGCTATTTCTTCACTGCCAAGCCAGGTGAAAGGGACAATGTTCTTGAGAGGTCACATTTTTACTGGGGGATATTTTCCGATCTTTTAATTGATTGATTATGGAAAGAGGCAGCAACTCTTCTGGCTAGTTAAGTCTGCTTGGGCTTTTGTTGCTCTTGTTTTTCTCTGCACTCGATCCTTTCCGTATCTCTAAATTATGTCTCCCCAGTTCTTCCCTTGTAAAGATCTTTTTTAGTTTAGTGGAAGGCACTTTATTTGGAGGGGCAGCTTGCTTGCTTTCAGAAAACAGTAGAAATTGCCTCTGATTTTGCCCAACTCATCAGCGTGTCCAGAACTTTATTACTGGGGATTTTCTCATTCTTTATATTTAGAGAATATTGCAATTTACAGCAAACCATCCCAGGTATTTTCAAGTCTCAAGTCTGGCTAAATAATCAATCTCTTCACTCTTTCTGTTTCCTTTATCATCATTTTAACCTTTGTTGTAACCCACTGCTTACTCTGAGTTTTGAAGGCTGTTTTGTGTTAATCTCGGTGACCTTAGGCCCACGCCTGTAGATTATTGCGATTTGAAGCATTGCTGCTTCAAACTGGCTAGGATCAATCCATAAAGAAGGAATATTTTGGCTGTTATATGGCCTTTTGTAAATTGCTTTGGATGGAGAAAAGGCTGGATTTCTTACTTGCTATGTGTAATTGCTTTGGTAATTATATTGTTTTTTCCATACCAGGTGAGTACTGGTAGCCAGGAGCTGTGTTTTGAACTGCTTATGTCATCTTGAGTCTTCACAAATATTAGGATATTTCTAAAAATCTTAAAAATGGTCACTCTTAGGTTAGGATCTTTCTGGACATAGAGTCCACTTGAAAAAAATAAATAAAATAAATGCATAGCTACCAGTTATTACCAGCAGGCTGGGTGCTCTGAACTAATGCAGGTGCTTTTAAAGCATTGCATTCGTTTCACTTAGGAGCAGAAAGATAATATGTAAGAGCCATAGTAACAGCCAGAGCCTTCATCAAAAAATCTCTGCCTGCTAGAGAAC